GGGAAAAAATGGGGGGAAATGGGAAGAAATGGGGGGAATGGGGGAAAATGGGGAGGGAATGGGAAAAAATGGGGGAAATGGGAAAAAATGGGGGGAAATGGGGAGGAAATGGGAGAAAATGGGGAGGAAATGGGGGAAAATGGGGAGGAAATGGGAAAAAATAGGGAGGAAATGGAAGAAATGGGGGAAATGGGAAAATATGGGGAGGAAATGGGGGGGAAATGGGGTGGAAATGAGGGAAAATTCTCCTTCAGGAGTCCAAATTCCCATTCAGGAGCCCAAAACTCCCTCAGGAACCCAAATCCTCTTTCAGGAGTCCAAATTCCCCCACAGGAGCCCAAATCCCCTCTCAGGAATCCAAATCTCACCTCAGCAACCAAATATTCCCTGTCAGGAGCCCAAATCCCTTCTGAGGAGCCCAAGTTGCTCCTCAGGAACCCAAATCCCACCTCAGGAAGCCAAATCCCACCTCAGGAGCCCAAAATTCCCACTGAGGAGCCCAAATTCTCCAGCAGGAGCCCAAATTCACTCTCAGGAGTCCAAATCTTTTCTCAGGAACCCAAAATCTCCCATCAGGAGCCCAAATTCCCTCACACGACCCTAAATCTCACCTCAGGAGCCCAAATCTCCTCTCAAGAGCCCCAATTCCCCCTCAGGAGCCAAAATTCGATTTCAGGAGCCAAAAATTCTCTGTCAGGAACCCGAATTCTGCTTCCGAAGCCCAAATTCCCTCTCAGGAACCCAAATCTCACCTCAAGAGCCAAAAATTTCCTCTCAGGAGCCCAAATTCCTTCTCAGCAGCACAAAATTCCCCCTCGGGAACCCAAATCCTCTCTCAGGAGCCCAAATTCCATTTCAGAAGCCCAAATCCCTTCTCAGGATCCGAAATCCCTTCTCAGGAGCCCAAATCCCCCTCAGGAACCCAAACTCCCCCTCAGGAATTGAATATTCCCTGTCAAGTGCCCAAATCCCTCTCAGGAGCCAAAAACTCCCCCTCAGGAGCCCAAATTCTATTTCAGAAGCCCAAATTGCCCCTCAGGAGCCCAAAATTCTCCTTCAGGAGCCCAAATTCCCCCTCAGGATCCAAATTCCATCTCAGCAAACCAAAATTCCCCCTCTGAGCCCAAATTCCCTCTCAGAAGTCCAAATTCCCACTCAGGAACCCGAATTTCCCCTCTGGACAAACCCAAATCCCCCCTCAGGAATCCAAATTCTCTCTCAGGGGCACAAATTCCATTTCAGAAGCCCAAATCTTCCCTCAGGAGCCCAAATCTGCCCTCAGGAGCCTAAATCACACCTCAGGAACCCAAATTCCCCCTCAGGAACCCAAATTCTCTCTCAGTAGCCGAAAATTTCCTCTCAGGAGCCGAAAATTCTCCCTCAGGAGCCCAAATTGCCCCTTAAGAACCCAAAATTCCCTCTCAGGAACCCAAATTCTGCCTCAGGAGACAAAAGCTCTCCCTCAGGAGCCCAAATTCCCACTCTTGAGCCCAAATTGCCCCTCAGGAGCCCAAATTCTCCCACAGGAATCCAAATCTCCCCCTCAGGAGCCAAAATCTCCCCTCTGGAACCCAAATTCCCCCTCAAGAACCCAAAATTCCCTCTCAGGAACCCAGATTCCCCCTCAGGAGCTGAAATTCCTCCCTCATGAGCCCAAATTCCCCCACAGGAGCCCAGATCCCTTCTCAAAAGCCCAAAGTCCCTCACAGGACCCTAAATCTCACCTCAGGAGCCCAAATCCCCTCTCAGAAACCCAAATTCCCCCTCAGCAACCAAATATTCCCTGTCAGGAGCCCAAATCCCTTCTGAGGAGCCCAAGGTGCCCCTCAGGAGCCCAAATCCCACCTCAGGAGCCCAAATCCCACCTCAGGAGCCCAAATCCCACCTCAGGAGCCCAAATCCCACCTCAGGAACCCAAATCCCACCTCAGGAACCCAAACCTCCTCTCACTGCCGCATTCCCCCTCACGGAGACCAGGCCGGACCCCGCAATTCCCGGGGTTCCCCCTCACGGAGACCCCTCCCCAAACTGCCGGGTTCCCCTCAGGACAAACCCAAATTCTCTCTCAGAAGCACAAATGCTCTCTCAGGACACCAAAATGCCCTCTCAGCACCCAAATCTTCCCTCAGGAGTCCAAATCCCACCGCAGGAGCCCAAATCTCCCCTCAGAACAAACCCAAATCCCCCCAAACTGCTGGGTTCCCCTCAGGGGCTGAAAATTCTCCCTCAGGAGCCCAAATTCCATTTCAGAAGCCCAAATGGCCACTCAGAAGCCCAAATTCTCCCTCAGGTGCCCGAAAATACCCTCTTAGGAGCCCAAATCTCCCCCTCAGGAGCCAAAATCCTACCACAAGAACCCAAAATTTCCTCTCAGGAGTCCAAATTTCCCCTCAGGAGCATAAATCTCCCCTCAGGACAAACCCAAATCTCCCAAACTGTCTGGTTCCCGTCAGAAAAAACCCAAATCTCCGCTCACTGCCGGGTTCCCCTCAGGACAAACCCAAATTCTCTCTCAGAAGCACAAATTCCCTCACAGGACACCAAAATCCCCCCTCAGGAGTCCAAATCATCTCTCAGGAACCCAAATTCTCCCACAGGAGCCCAAATCTCCCCTCAGGAGCCAAATCCTCTCTCAGGAGACAAAATTTCCCCTCAGGGCTCCATATCCCCTCACAGAAGCCCAAATCTCTACTCAGGACTCCAAATCTTCTCTCGGGAGCCAAAATCCCACTGCACGAGCCCAAATTAGCCCTCAGGAGCCCAAATTCCATCACAGGACACCAAAATCCCCTCTCAGGAGCCCAAATTCCCACTCAGGAGCCCAAATCTCCCCTCAGGACCCCTAATACCCTTGCAAGAACCCAAAATTGCCACTCAGGAGTCCAAATCCCACTGCAGGAGCCAAAACCCCACCTCAGGAGCCCAAATCTCCCCTCAGGACAAACCCAAATCTTCCCTTACTGCCGGGTTCCCTTCAGGAACCCAAATCTCCCCTCAGGACAAACCCAAATCTTCCCGTACTGCCGGGTTCCCTTCAGGAACCCAAATCTCCCCTCAGGGGAAACCCAAATCTCCCCTCACTGCCGGGTTCCCCTCAGGACAAGCCCAAATCTCCCCTCACTGCCGGGTTCCCCTCAGGACAAGCCCAAATCTCCCCTCACTGCCGGGTTCCCCTCAGGACAAGCCCAAATCTCCCCTCACTGCCGGGTTCCCCTCAGGACAAGCCCAAATCTCCCCTCACTGCCGGGTTCCCCTCAGAACAAACCCAAATCTCCCCAAACTGCCGGGTTCCCTTCAGGAACCCAAACCTCCCCTCATTGCCGGGTTCCCCTCAGGACAAACCCAAATCTCCCCTCACTGCCGGGTTCCCCTCAGGACAAGCCCAAATCTCCCCTCACTGCCGGGTTCCCCCTCACGGCCACCAAACCGGACCCTTCCCTCTCATTTCCCGGTCCCCCACTCACCGGGACCTGCCCAGCCCCGTTGCCATGGCGATCCCTTGAGTATCCCCTCCCTCCCCGTTGCCATGACAACCCCGCGTGTCACCCCCCTTCCCCTCCGGTGTCCCCCTCCCCGGTCACCCCCTGACCTGCTCCATGTTGGCGGCTCCGCGTGCACCGCCGAACACGTGGGCGCGGGTCAGCGATGCGGCCACGCCCCCGCCGCCCGCGCTTCCGCCTTGCCGCGGCCCCGCTCCGCTGCCGAGGGAGGGGATCCCGCTGCCAGACACGGCAGGAGAACGGGAAGGGGAAAAAATAATGGGAAAAAGGAACGGGAAAGAGAACCGGGATTGAGCAGCAGCGCGGGAAAATGGGAAAGCAAAGCGCGCATGCGCAGAGGGCGGCGCTCAGCCGGGACTGCGCATGCGCGCGGCGGCGACAGCGCTAACTCGGCCGGGCGGTGAAAGGGGGCGTGGTCACGAAGGGGCGTGGTTTTCTGCAAGGCGCTGTCGAATGGGAAAGGGGCGTGTCCTAAGCGAGGGGGCGGGGCCAAGTGTGACAGCTCAGCTACTGCCAGCACTGGACAAGGGGCGTGGCCTGAACCAAAGGGGCGTGGCCTTGGCTGTCACCAAGAGTGATGGGGCGGGGCCAGATGTTTGGGGGCGTGTCCCTATGGGTCAAGCGAGTACGGAGAGTGGGCGTGGCTTATTTCTAGTGGGAGTGTCCCAGCCAAACCCCATCTACAACACAGTGGGCGTGGTTAACCCTCAAGGGGGCGTGTCTTTGGACCAAAGCCCTTATATACAATACACAGTGGGCGTGGCTATCACTCAAGGGGGCGTGTCTTTGGGCCAAACCCCCGTCTACATTACGGAGTGGGCGTGGCTAACCCCTTAAAAGGGCGTGTATTTGCAGCAAAGCCCATTTACAACACAGAGTGGGCATGGCTATCGCTCAAGGGGGCGTGTCTTTGGTCCAAAACCCCATCTACAACACAGAGTGGGCGTGGCTATCCCTTAAAGAGGAGTGTCTTTGTGCCAAAGCCCCTATCTGCAAGATACGGAGGGCGTGGCTAACCCTCAAGGGGGCGTGTCTTCGCGCCAAAGCCCCGCCCCTCCCTTCCCGCCCCCTCCGCGCGCATGCTCCCTCGCGCAGTGGGCGTGGCCGCGCACGCTCCCCTCACGTCTCTCCACCCTCCCGCCCCCCAAGATGGCGGCGGCCATGCCGCCTCCCGCCGCCGCCGCCGTTCCCGCCGCCGGCGGCTCTTCCCGCCTTTTTTAAGCGCCTCGCTGCCTACGGGGTTTCCCCGAGCCCTTCCCGTGAGGGCGCGGTCATGGACGGCCCGGGCTCGGCGGCGGCGGCGGGGCCCGGCGCTAGCAACGTGCCCGCCTTCCTCACCAAACTCTGGACGTTGGTGGAAGATCCCGACACGGATTCCTTGATTTGTTGGAGCCCCGTGAGTTCCCGGGAATGCGGCGGGGATGGAATTCCTGAGGGGAATTCCCGCCGGGAATTCGCGGCCCCGCTGAGGGGAGTGGGGGGGGGGAACGCCCGCGGCCTTGGTGAGGCCCGCGCGGTTCCTGAGGGAATCGCCGCTTAAATCCCGGTTTTTTTTGGGATTGGGAATGTTGGAGGTGAGGTGAATTAAAATGAGAGCGGGAAAACGGCGGGGAGTTGGGAATGCGCCGTTAATTAGGGAATAATTGGATAATTAAGGGGTTTGTGGGGGGTAAAAGTAGGGAATGCGCGGCTGGGAAATGAGGGATTCCTGGAGATTCCAAAGGTTTTTCCACGGTTTTTTTTCCCTTTGGTGGTTTTTCTTGGAGAGCTGGAGAAGGATTTGGGATAAAAAAATGGAAAACAGGGAATGCTTTTTTTTTTGGGAATGTCGGGATGGAATTCCCAGGAAATCCGGGGCCGCTCCATCCTTGGGAATGGCCAAGGAAGGTGTTGGGATGCTCCTGGAATTCCCAAAATTTCGGGAATTTCCCAGCTCCAGCCCTTTCTGAGGAGCCAAACCCGGATTTGGGGGAAAAATCTGGGAATGTGACAACATTCCCAGGGATTCGGGAATGCCTCGATCCGGCTGGAATTGCCCTCATGGGAAACATCCAGAGGCTGCTTTTCCCGGGAATCCAGGCTGGTTTTCCTGGATTTTCCCGAGAATACCGGTTTTCCCTGGATTTTCCCCATTTTTCCTGGATTTTCCCAGGAATCCGGGCTGATTTTTCTGGATTTTCCCAGCCACATCCCAGTTTTTCATAGGTTTTCCCAGGAATCTTGGTTTTCCTGAATTTTCCCCATTTTTCCTGCATTTTCCCGCCCACATCCCAATTTTCCCTGGATTTTCCCAGGAATCCAGACTGATTTTCCTGGATTTTCCCTGGATTTTCCCCATTTTTCCTGGATTTTCCCAGCCACATCCCAATTTTCCCTGGATTTTCCCGGGAATCCAGGCTGATTTTCCTGGATTTTCCCATTTTTCCCTGGATTTTCCCCATTTTTCCTGGATTTTCCCAGCCACATCCCGATTTTCCCATGGGAAAACCCTTACCTGGGGATGGAATTCCATGGAATGTCTCCATTCCCATTGAATGTGCTCATCTCAAAGCTCCCAAACCATTCCCAGATTTTCCCTGGAGCTGGAAAAATTCCCAAATTTTTTCATTTTTTTCCCCCCTTTTCCCCAAGATTTTCCCACCCATCCCTTGGGAATTCCCAACTTTTCAAGTCTTAAACTCGGAATTTTTCCACCTTCTGAAATAACTTTTCCCTGCCGCTGGAATTCCGCAGTTTTGGGAATCTGACGCTCCGGAATTCCCAGGAAATCTTGGATTTCTTGGAATATTTTTCTTCCCAAGGAATTTTCCGGGTTTATCCCATTCCCAGCGATTTTTCCCATCCTCATCCCAAAATCCCAACTTTTCCCCCTCGGGGATTTTGGGAATTCCTCGTGAAGAATTCCTTGGTTTTCCTTGGGATTTGGGAATTTCCCGCCAGGTTTGGGAGCATTCCCTGGATTTTCTGCTTTGAAGGAATTCCTGATTTTTTTTTTTTAATTGGATTTTAAAAATTCCTGGAGTTATTTTAAGGGATTTTCCCGCTTTTTCCCAAGGGTTTTCCTGCTTTTTTTTTTCCCAGGAATTTCTTGTTGGTTTTCCCAATAAATTCTTTGCTTTTTACAAGGATTTTCCTGTTTTTCCTAAAGATTTCCCTGCTCTTTTCCCAAGGAATTCCGTTTTTTTTCAGGGATTTTCCTGCTTTTCCCCCCATGGAATTTTCTGCTTTTTTTTCCCCAGGAATTCCCAATTTTTTCCCAAGGATTTTCCTGCTTTTTCCCCCAAGGAATTCCCTGCTTTCTTTCCCAGAAATTCCCTGATTTTTTTTCCCAATAATTCCCATTTTTTCCCAAGGATTTTCCTGCTTTTTCCCCCAAGGAATTCCCTGCTTTCTTTCCCAGAAATTCCCTGATTTTTTTTCCCAATAATTCCCACTTTTTCCCAAGGATTTTCTGGCTTTTCCCCCCAAAGAATTCCCTGATTTTTTTTCCCAGGAATTCCCTGGTTTTCCTGAGTAATTCCCTAATTTTCCCAAGAATTTTCCTGCTTTTTTTTTTCCCAGGAATTCCCTGCTTGTTCCTCTCAAGGAATTCCCTGATATTCTCCAAAGAATTCCCTGCTTTATTCCCAGGAATTCCCTGGTTTTCCCAGGAATTTGCTGCTTTCCCCCCAGGGATTTTCCTGCTTTTCCCAAGGAATTTCCTGGTTTTTTTTCCAAGGATTTTCCTGCTTTTCCCAAGGATTTTCCTACTTTTTTCCCCCCAAGGAATTCCAATTTTTCCCCCAAGGAATTCCCTGCTTTTTCCTGGGGTTCCTTTGTTGATTTTTCCAGGAATTCCCTGATTTTCCTGACATTTCCATTGGAAAATTCCCGCTTTCCTTTCTCCAGAACCTGGAATTTCCGTGGAATTTCCCTTCCTTGACCCCCAATTCCCATTTTTTTCCCCATGGGAATTCCCTTTCCCGACTTTTCCCTGGGAGAAATTCCTGGATTTGCTCCCGGTCCTCATCCCGCTTTTCCAGCACGGAATTCCCAAGGAATTTTGGCTGCTCTGGACTTGGAATTCTTTGGGATGTCGGGAATTTTCTCTTGGAATTCCAAGGAATTCCTGGAATTCCCATTCCCCCATCGTTCTTTTCCCAGATTTCCAGGATAAATCCGGGATTCCCGTGGGAGAAGGGGTTGGGAAGGTTCCGGAATTCTGATTCCATCAAAAGCTGCTGTGGGAATTGGGAATAATTCCCAAAAAATCCTGAAAAAAAATCCCCAAAATATCCCCCCCAAAATTCCCAAAGAATCCCCGAAAATCCCAAGAAAAATTCCCAAAAAATTCCCAAAAAATCCTAAAAAATTAAAAAAAAATTCTCAAAACAAATTTCCAAAAAACCTGTAAAAAATCTCAAGAAAAATTCCCCAAAAAGCCTTAAAAATAGAAAAATAATCCCGAAAAAATTCCCAAAAAATCCTAAAATATAAAAGGAAATCCCTTAAAATAAAAACTCAGAAATCCCTAAAAACTCCCCGAAAAAAATCCCCAAAAAACCCCAGAAAAAATTCCCAAATAATTCCTAAAATAGCCCAAAAAAATCCCCTAAAATGAAAAACAATCCCCAAAAAATCCCCCAAAACCCCCAAGAAAAATTCCCAAAAAATGGGAAAATATCCGAAAAAAGCCCCAAAAAATCCCCAAAAAACCCCAAGAAAAATCCCCCCAAAAATTTCCTAAAATAAAAAAATTCCAAAATCCCCAAAAACTTTAAAAAACCAAAAACCCCCAAAAGAAAAAATATTTTAAAACAAACCACCCCAAAAATTCCTAAAAAATGCTAAAATATCCCCCAAAAAATCCCTTAAGATCAGAAAAAATTCCAAAAAATTCTAAAATATCCAAAAAAACCCAAAAATTCACTAAAATAAAAGAATAATCAAAAATTCCTGAAAACTTCCAAAAACCCCAAGAAAAATTCCCCAAAATGTCCAGCAAATTCTAAAATATCCCAAAAAATCCCCTAAAATAAAAGAATAAAAAATTTTTTAAAATCAGAAAAAACCTCAAATAAATTAAAAAAAATCTTAAAATAGGCAAATAAAAGCCCTAAAATAAAAAAATATCAAAAATCCCTGAAAACTCCCCCAAAAATAAAAAAAATCCCCAAAAATCCTAAAATATGCCCCAAAAAATCCCACAAAATCAGAAAAAAAAAACCCCCAAAATTCCCTAAAAATCAGAAAAAAATCCCCCAAAATCAGAAAAAAATCTCCAAAAAAATCTCCCCCAGAAATCCCCAAAATA